GTGGAACAGATAATCAAACAATCATCTATATACCTACAGTAGAGTAATGGCCGGAGATCCATCACTGGTGCTTCCACTTTAGACATAAAGGCAATGGCCAGGCTAGGTGCCAGTCGCTGTCCCATTGCCAGCCCTCTGGTTTGAGCATAATAATTCCCGGACCATCTGAAGATTGAGCAGTTCAAGCACTCTTTTAGTAGGATCATGAACTGCTCAATCGTCAAGCCATACATGTTTACAGCTCCCTGGTGTTGTATAAGAAGCTCATGTGTGGCTTGCAATGCGGAGTCATTCGACACGTTGGTATATAAAGCAGTAACGTCGAATGACTCCATTACGTACGCGTTGTTCGGGTTCGCGTTACGTAGACGATCCAGGAACATCTGAGTGTTTGTCAGATGGGCTGGAATGTGTCCTAGCAACTGGGATGTTATTAAAGTCAAGAACCATGCTATCCTATCCGTCGGTCCGCCTACACAACTGATGATAGGTCTAACTTTGAATATAGATGGATCGTTAGACATCAGATCATCAGTGGATACTAACTTATGTGTTTTTATAAGCAAGTATAAGACAGGACATGTTGGTGACTGGATTTTTAATTGAGAAATGATAGATGGTCTTAAGCCTGCAGCTTTTGCCGTACGGACCCACTCACTGTTTAATTTGCGGTTTTGCCTTTTGAATTCCTTTACAGAAGATGATCGGTAAAGCGAGGCATCCTCGAGATGCTTGCTCGTTATTGCGATATCTAACTGTCGAGGAATCACAACAAATTCTCCACCCTTATCACTAACTGATAGCCTTATCCTACCTTCGCTTATCAACTCTCGAACCTCTTTCATGCCACGTTTTTGTAGTTCGGTGAGGTTCGATTGATATCTTCTCCTGCTATAGTGAGTGAGGGTTCTAAAAGTTTCGTCCGCAAATTTCCGGAATTTTCTATCTACCTCCTCGTTGGGGTCTTGTTGTCTATAGAACGGCTGAGGAAATGGTGGTATTAGTGCCTCTACTTGCTGTTCATTCCTATTAGTCTCTTCAACTCTGGCCTTTTTACGGAGTTGATCTTGCAAATCATGTAAACCACATGCAACCTTGCGCAAGGACACCTTAGAAATGGGTTGAGATGGTGAAAAGCTTGGACCCAGTTCTAATAGCGAGCGCGCACCGTCAGGGAGAGTTATGCCTCCTAGCACTGTGACCCTTGAATTTCTTGATGCATTACTTGCCCTAATGTGACTCGCTTGATCTTCATTAGCGGTATCCGTATGCCTTCTCAAAGTCATGTTATGCGATCTACTCAAAAGATCATCGAATTTTCTCCCAAGTAACTTTAGTATTTGACCTAATGGAATCGCAATCTAAAGGAATTCAAAAGGCAAAACCGCAAATTAAACAGTGAGTGGGTCCGTACGGCAAAAGCTGCAGGCTTAAGACCATCTATCATTTCTCAATTAAAAATCCAGTCACCAACATGTCCTGTCTTATACTTGCTTATAAAAACACATAAGTTAGTATCCACTGATGATCTGATGTCTAACGATCCATCTATATTCAAAGTTAGACCTATCATCAGTTGTGTAGGCGGACCGACGGATAGGATAGCATGGTTCTTGACTTTAATAACATCCCAGTTGCTAGGACACATTCCAGCCCATCTGACAAACACTCAGATGTTCCTGGATCGTCTACGTAACGCGAACCCGAACAACGCGTACGTAATGGAGTCATTCGACGTTACTGCTTTATATACCAACGTGTCGAATGACTCCGCATTGCAAGCCACACATGAGCTTCTTATACAACACCAGGGAGCTGTAAACATGTATGGCTTGACGATTGAGCAGTTCATGATCCTACTAAAAGAGTGCTTGAACTGCTCAATCTTCAGATGGTCCGGGAATTATTATGCTCAAACCAGAGGGCTGGCAATGGGACAGCGACTGGCACCTAGCCTGGCCATTGCCTTTATGTCTAAAGTGGAAGCACCAGTGATGGATCTCCGGCCATTACTCTACTGTAGGTATATAGATGATTGTTTGATTATCTGTTCCACTCAAGAGGAGCTGGATAATTGTTTTAGATTGCTGAATGAACAGTCAGAGTATATAAGATTCACCCGTGAGATACCAAAAGACGATTGGCTTCCATTCTTGAACGTGCAAATAAGCTTAACTGAGAGCGGCTACATAACGAAGTGGTACCGAAAGCCAAGTAGTAAGAATATCTTGGTTCACTATCTCTCTTCTCACCCCTCACATACGAAGAAGGCGCTAGTAAAAAACATGTTTCGAACAGCAGCCAATGTATGTACCGGGGAGGAGCAGAGAGTAGAATCCGTGAAACTGGCGCGGGAAATAGCCACTTCTAATGGATACGAATTCGTAGCCCCTCGGCTTAGGTTTAGAGGAAATAATGCGCCTCCGAACGAAAACTTAGTTGAAAGGAAAGTCCCGTTTATCATCCCGTTCTATTCAAATGAGGTTAGTACAGCTATAAAACGATGTTTGAAAAGAGCGGGCTTAGAGCAATCGGTGGCCATTATTGAAATACCACCGAATACTCTAAAACGCCAACTAGTTCGCAACCGCTTATATGACCGTCTCTGTATGATGAATGATTGTAAAATATGTCCTAACGGCAGAGACGGTGATTGCATGAGCGTAGGTACAGTCTACCTAATCTCTTGCAAAGCGTGTAGTGATAAATATGTAGGCGAAACGGGTAGGCCGCTCTATGCACGCATAGAAGAACACCTAGCTGACAAGCGTCTTAATAGACAAAACACCCCGCTAGGGACGCATAGAGCACAGAAGCACGACGGAGTTGATTTTGAAATCGAAGTCACCATCCTTGCGCAGGAGCAAAAAACATCAGCGCGAAAGATCTTGGAAGCATTTTGGATTAATACGACCAATCCAACCATAAACCGCAGGGAGGAATGCCTTGTAAACACTCGTGATATGAGCCAGTATATAAGACTGTTGTTTTGATGGGTAGGGTGCATTACGAGCCTATGTGTCTCTCTTGCCGGTGATCTCCACTTGGATCATCCAGTGGAACACATATAAAAAGCGGTGAGTATGTTAAGTGTTGATTTTTGCTTGATGCGATTGAAATCTAGGTCTGGTGATTTTTTCTAAAGAAGTAATGGAGGTGTTTGACTGATTGTATTGCAAACATTTTGACCTTTCCAGGCTCTGAAGAAGGCGAACTGCCGAAACGTCAGCTATCGAATAAAGTTTAATGTAACACCTCGTGTTCTGCTCAAAGAAGAAAATCAAGAATCTCCTTACAGCGTCATGATTTGAGACTGAAATTCATGACCGTTTTGATTTAAGTTTCTTGTGCATCTTTTAAAGAAATATTAGTGATAAATGATCTCCGTACAAAGGATGATCTGAATTTCTATCGCATGACTTCCCAATATAGGTCATTTTGAGGCTTTCACGAAAGCAAAGATAAAATGAATATGCATCGTGACAGCATATTTTAAACCTTTCATGAGGTCTGTTACGGTATTTATACAGTGCAATACACATGTTATAGGCTTGCAGTCTCGTCAGTTGCACAAAGCCCCTCGTGTGTGCTAATCGCTCTCGGGAAAACCTGCATACCTAGAGTTGTCCGAGAACATGTTACACCCAAATTTCACTTTACACGGTGTTTAACGTGTTCGTCGAGCATTCCTCTATGAAGGGGGTTCTCCCTCGAGCGAAACTGGCACAAACAATAGGAATTGTAAAGTGATGAGGCTGCAAGGCCCAAGCACGTGTATTGCACAATCTAAGTGCCATAATAGACTTCATAAAGGCTTAGAATATGCTGTCAGCATGTAATGATTTTGAGCGAGTTTTAAAAAAAACCAGTCGAACATAGAGAAATGCATATCATTTCAATGTCTTAACTTTTGGGAGGGCCGATGATAGCAGCAACGTCACGATAATCGTTTGCGTTGCACTCGGCGGGACCGATCTGCAGATAGATCGCGTTATATTCACCATGTTGCAGTTTCGTAATAAATTTTAGATCGCGTTATATTCACCATGTTGCAGTTTCGTAATAAATTTCACATATTACCGCCTTTAGAGATATTTAAGGTGAGCAAATTATAGAGTGTAATAAAAGTTCAGCAGAGCTATTTTTAGTTGAAATATGTCAACACAATCACAAAACAGTGACTTTTTTGTCAAAAACGATCATTGCATGCATAAGAACCGTTCCTTCGCGAACCAAATGTTTTATAATTATCAAGAGACTGTCATCACTTTACAAATAGCAAGCTTCAATTTTTAATGTCAAAAAAGACAGAGTAAACCGATAACTTGGCGATGAGTTTCTGTCAACAATTGAAAAACAACAACACGAAATAACTGACAATGAGCAGCTCACATATGCAGAAACGCGAGTAAAAATATCATGACAATAACAAGAATTGACTTTTGAAGAGGAAAAAAAGTCAAGATGCCGCCAAATTATCAAGGAAACAAGGATCTCGATTTGAAAAAAAAACCTCTGAAAACATCATTAAAAGAACAGATGAATTCGCGCTTACAAACAAAATTGAGAGTGACAATAGAGTGAGTTTTTTCAAAGAAATCCCTGTCATAAATGCCTGTGATAACAGCGGAAAGCATCATCATTCCTCAGTTTCATTACTCGTCGGTGATCGCCATGATATTAGGAGCATTTAGGCTGCTTTACTGACTTCATTTCGTGCACTATAACAATCGCTCTTCTTCAAAAATGGTGGCTGAAATATAACATAATTAGGAAAAATGTTGAAAATGCAGGTGATTGAAAATTCTCAGGTATATATAAAACATCATCACACTGCGAAAAATGTAGGAAAACACTAGAAATTTCGAGTATTACCTATCACAATGGCTGTCACCTCAACTGGGTTCATAAAGCGAAATCGCATACCCGACCAAATCTGTCAAAGGTTGGTGGCGGACAGTTAACTAGAGAAGTTGAAGAATGAGTGTAGGCGCGAATGTACCTTGATGGTGTAGTGGTAGCACGCGTTCCCGAAGTGGATGAAACGCGGATTTGACACCCGCCCAAGGCCGTGTTTATGCTCATTAATCAATTCTCTTAGGTATGTATGAAACACCAGAACACTGCGGAAAATACACTAAAAACACTAGAAATTTCGAGTATAACCTAAAAATTCTTTAATGATAGGTCTTTGTTTTAACATTCCTTTCAATTCTATATCGCGGAATCTTCAGAACAACGATGATCAAAAGTGGACACCATAATCTCCACCGTCTTTTGAAGAGTACTGTCTTTCTTCTATGAAAGCTTGTGATTTTCACTTACTGGACCGTTCAAAGAGAAGGAAACTCAGACTTAAGATTAAAAAACGGGTTGCAGCTGAGATTAACATATATAGTTGATTATGAAAGTATCCACTTCTTGGGAAAAAAAAAATTTTGTTCTCAAATAAGTGCAGTAGGCAAAGTTTTATGAAAAACAGAAGTGCGCGAATTGAATTAAAAGTCAGAGAACTAAGTAAAATGTTTCCAATCTGCGATACCATCATACGATTTGATGGTGGCAAAGATTTGGACATTTGTCAAACAGTCGCTTTACATCCATGTTACGATTGTACTGGATCATCGACTATTCACAGTTCGCCTTCAGGACTGACGCACTTCTAAAGTTTTAGGTGGATACTTGATAAATTTGAAATTAAACGAATTTGTGGGTTTTCAGCAATCTATCGCAGGGATTTCAAGCATAATCATACAACCACGATGATAAATAGAACTATTTGGTATTGTCCTCCTTACAGATACCAAAAAAGGGAACGGAGTGGTATAAGCTGATCGATTTCTTGAATGATGAGTCATATTTCTATCTGTATGAGTGATTGGATACACTTTTGGCCTATATAATAACCTGTGATGGCCAGCCTGTGGTGATATATCAAGTTAATGATTTCACGTTTCGTTACAAATCCAGTGCCAACTTGCTGATATAGAATTGGTAGCGTCATACTTAGTACTGAGCGTGGCATGAAACTAACAATCACATGCGGATTGTGATGCATTACTGAAAATCAGAGAATCTTTTCGTAAAGACTAAAGAAGAAAATCAAGTTTTATGCAACGAAGCTAATACTATGACGTTTATTGATAATTGGTGATGAGTAAAACGCTTGAGAACCAAAAGGCATGCGAAAAAAACGACCTTTGATAGGAGTCATAAGGGTAGAAACTACAAAGGACGGAAATAAGTCAGGCCTTCAAAATTTTTGATGCGCGCGGCTGCATGCACAAGTCCTCCGATACGCATGATACACTTGGTGAACGCGATCATATCTGGTTCTATAAATCCGCAATCGCTCTGCTTCTTGACATATGAAGTTCAACAGAAAAAAGACGAAAAAAAGTTTTTTTTGTATTGAAAATCACAAGTTCACTTTGCTGTGAGAACAGAACGTGTAACGCTTTCGTAGAATACGCTGATTTCAGTGGCTTTGCTTTATTAGAGCGTTCCATAACTTTTGGCACTGGGACAAAAAGCGCCCAATTTATTGATTAGAAATAACTATAATTGCATGATTTTGGTATCGCTTAATCGCGCATTTTCTATCAAATATTTTCTGTTCATTTTTCATCCTTATCTTCTATGACAAAAAAGCCACGATTATCAACTGCTACTCATTAACATATGCAGGTCATGGGAACGAAATGGAGGCGTTCTACAAGAATTTGGAAGATATAATTTGCAACAAAAACTTTGCCTAGAAATTTATTGTAAAAGGCTTCAATGTCCATTTGGAAGCGGTCAGCGAACATTGAACGCAGTGCAGAAAATTGAAATTAAGTCAATGAAACGAGAACGGAATTAATCTAGTAAGACTTCTTTCGATGAGTGTC